AGAGAGAGAGAGAGAGAGAGAGAGAGAGAGAGAGAGAGAGAGAGAGAGAGAGAGAGAGAGAGAGAGAGAGAGAGAGAGAGAGAAAGAGACGGAGACGATCAGGGGTGACCGTGCTGGGCACGAACTCGATGGAACAACGAGCTACTGTACTAAGGACAAACGAAACTTACCGTACTGTACTTCGGACCACGCAGGAGGGGACACAGCGACCGTACGGGATATGAGAACGAGCTACTGAAGTGCACGCAGCGAGACTGCATCTACACTGTGTTTCGTCGTTTACAACTACTGCTTGGAACGCGCTGTCATCTCCATGCTCTCCCTCCCTTCACGCGACTGTGGAGGAAGGGTAGGTAGGAACTTTCTCAAAAAGCGCCACTGCATCGACGATAGCCTCTTTCCCTCAGCGTCCCTGCCGAGTCGGCCACCCTCCCTGTCCACACCCCTCTGCTCTTCCTCTCTGCCTCCTCACAGTCAACGTCATTGCGAGATGCTGAATGGGGGTCTCAATTTTACGAACACCGACTCCATCGAAGGTTTAAGCTGATCTTGAACTTGTTATCGTTGCCGTCCATCCCCATCAGAGCCTTCGGGCCGTCCACTCTCACCACCGTCTTGACGTTTAATACGTTAACTGCGTTGCTGCACTCGCTCGAGACAACCGTCAGGAAGTCGTCCGTGTACTTGAAGCTGCCGACATATGGACCTTCGATTTTGCGCTCGATCGTCGCCGTACCTGTTTGTCCCGCGAAGCAGTACTTAACCTCGTAGGTGCCCCGGGAGTCGTGGTTGATGTCAGCGAACCCGCTGACCGTTGCCTTGGTAATGGCGACGCTCCGGCCACCCGGGTCGTGCAGACTGAACGAGATGGCGCAATTCGCCCTCCTGGCGGCAAGTGATGATGTGGCCGCAACCATCCCATCCAACAGGAAGCCGACGGTCGTGTAGTCGTCCGACCGAAACAGATTGGAGTTGTAGTAATTGCAGCCAGTACCTTGGTAGGTGGCATAACCAATAGTCACCCCGCGTGGAGGCGGCGCGCTTGCCTCGACCGCAACGATAACCAACAGAAGCAGTGCCGCGCGAACCACCTGATGCGCCATTGCCCTCGAACTCCGCCTCGACTGTGTCACTCCCCCTCCCTCCGACCTCCGCTTCCTCTCGCTTCACAGCGTACGAAGAAACACGGACGGTCCTCGGAAAACACCAAGCAGCGGTGACGCGGAGGACGTTGCTGCTGCTGCTGCTCCGCTCGAACCCCCACTTCTTCCACGTTTCTGCTCTCAGTGTGCAAGCAACGAGGAGCACCGATTGCGACGGCGTACGTGATCCATCCCCTATCTTGCCCAGTCCATCCCCGTCCTGGGCAGTTCAGAATCGCTTCTTTTATAAAGTTTTGCTCGGAGCCGTCGCCTCAAGCCGTCAGGGTCCGCCTGCATCCAGCAGTCATGTGCTTGTGCTTGGATGGGGTGGCCATGAGCGAGTGAGTGAGTGAGTGAGTCGCCAGAGACTCTCGTCTCACCGGGGCTTTCAGGCCCAATCGTTCTTCCATTTGGGTTTTCGGTCGGCCCAAACAGTTTCACGTCGTTGCGATAAAAGAAAAAAAACTGGTAGCACACGCCCAACTCCAGGTGTTTCTCAGATTTTTCGGACCAGGTTCATGCTGTGTGGCCGCCAAGGGGAGCAAGAGCAACAAGTTCTCACCCTCTTTTGATCAACGGCCAGAGTCTGCCGAGACGATCTCGGGCTGGTATTCACACTCGCTCTCACATGGAGGTTTCTTGCTCATCAACCAATGGCAAGCGGATTGAGTGAGTGAGTCATCTGTACTCGTGGGTACAGGAAACTGCACGACCTTCAGAACAGAACATATCCTGTTCAATTCTTTTTTTTTTTTTTTTTTTTTGGACCATTTCTCGATTTATGCGTGTCATCCTAACATTGCGCAGGGGCCATGCTAATCTTGATTCTCTGCATCGTTCCAATTTTCACGGATGTCCCCAAGGACCTCCTGCTCAATTCAAGTAGAGAAGTAGATGTAGCCGCGGACCATGTTTATCGCTGCTGGTCTCTGAAATCGAGGGTCCAGATCAAGGGATCCAGACAAGTGGGACTGCGCCCCCGGTTCCTTCATCGGGATGATGACATCGAATATCAGCATGGCCCACGAGGAGCAAAACTGCCACTGGCCAAAAAGAAGATAAAGAAAGCAATGAATGAAAGCTCACACACACACAAAAAAAAAAAAAAAAAGTGTTTCTCAGCAGCAGCCTTTGGGTTGAAAGTCATGATTACATTTCCGAAAAAGGGAATGAGAAAAAGAGGAGGCGCTGACTCACCAAGGAAAAGTCAACCATTGCCAACTCAGCCGGCGGCCAAGTCCCACTAGCAGCGTTGAATTTCCTCAACGCCTGAATCTGGACCGGTTTGTGGAGTGTTGCTACTGAGGAAGCTAAATGCCATTTCTGCTCGTCTCCACAAACAGGACCAGATTCAGGCATTGAGCAAACTCAACGCCGCTGGTGGGACTTGGCCGTGGGGAAAGCTGGGCTGGGAAGTGCCGAACGTTGTGGAAGTGGAAGATCCAACCAAAAAAAAAAAAAAAAAAAGAAGATCCAGCCGTAGTGACTACAGGAGTAGAAACAACTTTGGGGAAACTTCCCCTGACGATTCACCTTCTTTTTTTTTTTTCTTTTTTTTTTTTTTTTGTTGGGACGATTCACCTTTTTTCGTTCGGGCAAGGAAAGACAAACGGCGGCGCCGATGTCATTGTTTGAGTCTCAAAAACAGCAGGGGAGGG